AAGCTGTTGTGCTTGTGAGAAATGAAGAACAATTTGTTCTTCAATGGTTTCAAGAAACAAGCATTGAAACCGCCATGTCCATGTCAGTAATTTGGAGAGTCTTCTACGAAAAAATGAAGAACCTCAGAGAAGAGGATGATCAAAGAATGAGAAGGAGACTCCCAAACTATGTCCTTGGGGAGGCATCAAGCAGCAGAAGAAGGACTGGATGATTGGTGAATGCTACCAAAAGAGGGGGAAGAAAGAAGTCAAACGTTTTGCTCTGTTTCTTGTCCTTATTTTAGAAAGTTTGACTTTTATCTTCTTTTGGCATCATCACAAAAGGGAGAAATTGTTAGGCCCTAGATTTTGTGTAAACAGTTTTGATGATGCAAAGCCTTTCAAATGCTCCCCCTTTCTTTTGTAGCATTAGGAAATCAAACGTGCTGTATTTTGTGTCAACCAAGTGCCAGCAAAGTGTTATCCGAATGTGTCTCATTTGTACTATCAATTAACAAATAAATATAACTGGAAAAACATAAAAAGCAATAAGGTAATCCTCATTATCTTAAAAAGGATTTCTTATAGATCCAACCAGTTATATTTATTTACAAAAAGAAAAAGAAGACACTAAGACATTTCAAATAAGTAAACTATTCGACTGGAACACAAAAATTAATAAGGTAATTTTTTGTACCTTAATAGGATTTGTCATCCCACCAGTTGAATGTTTATTTATGATCAAAATACTAGTTCGGCCAATCACAACCAAGTATGACCGGAAGTCAAAAGAAAAATGTATGTACCAAATAAATTATACCGGAAAAGAAAAAATGCAATAAGGTAAAAACTACCTTAAAAAGGATATTTAAATCCTACCGGTATATATTTATTTAATTACGAACATTTTTATCAAAAGACATATTGGTGTGAAAAATGTGTCAAAGAGAGAACAAATAAATGTAAAATTTCTAAGACTAATAATATTATTACTGGACAGTAAAAATGCAATAAGGTAAATTTATTTACCTTTAATAGGATATTTAAATCCTACCAGTATAATTTTATTAGACTCAGAAATTGTTATGTTCGAACAAATTTACCATGGCGGGTAAAACTGAGCCAATAAATATCCAGCATGGAGAACCGACGTACAGCATGGGCTTACAGTCTGAAGCCTAAAGAGAAGTCTGCAGTGGCTAGGCGGGCAAAACAAAAACATCCCATAAGTTCCGAAGAGGAAGATAAACAACAAGTTGTTTATCCTCTGCGATCAAGATTCGACGAACAAGATTAAATCATCTCAACCAACGGATGAGATTAATCTACCGGAGATGTCTATAAATGAAGGCCGAAGCATGAGTTAAAGCGACTAAGTTTTTGAGCTCAAAGCAGAGAGATTCCATAAGCATTCAAAGAATATCTAACAACTCTGCTTTGACTCATGCTTCACTAAGCTCTTAGAATAGATCATCATTGTCATACTTTTAGAGCTTAGTTCATAGTTGGAGACTAGAATTTCCTTGTATATCACAAGGTGTTGTAAAACACTTCAGGAGGACAGTTGTTCCCGGCCTAAGTGTTGTTAGATAGGTCAGGAGTACCTTTTGATCCCCACTGGATCAATTGAGAAAAACCTAAAGGATTGAGTAGCTTGGAGTGGTGTTGTACTCCTCGTGAAACACCTTCAATCTAGGCCAGAGTTGTCAAGGCTAGATTGGCACTAAGTGTATTGGGCTTAATACATTAGTGAAATCCATTTGAAATAGGATGGGACTGGATGTAGGAGGATTACACCACCTCTGAACCAGGATATATTGTGTGTTGATTTACTTTCAGTCAACAAGGCACACACTGAACACTTCTCACATAAAGATTGGAGTTTGCCAGCAGCATCCTAAGCAGTTGTCTTAATTGACCCAACTGCTTATCCTACTGCTTAATTACTCACTCTCTTTGAGATACAAGAGCTTCACAATATCACAACAAAAAGACCTGTTTCATTAAGATTTCAGGAAATACCACGTAAGGCATGGCAGTTGCCTCAACAGTCTCCTAAGGACTACACAACTGCTGAGCCCACTGCTCACACAAAAGTATTTCCTGTGAACATCTTGACATTACTAGACATTTACATCTTTATCTCTAAGAAGTCTGTTCAAAATAATCTCTGCGAGTCAGGGTGATAATCAAGCAGGTACCTCTACAGTTCCCTCACTATCACCCAACTGCCTAACACCTCTGCCTAAGTAAAACCCTCTACTTACTTGGCCCAAAGCACATCTTCAGAAAGCCCACATCATCCTGAGCAACGCCATATAATCAAACCTTCCATACCTTCACCATTACTTCAGCAGGTGCCTCAGCAGTTCCCTGGTTTCCACCCAACTGCTGAGACAACTGCTCTCATTTAAGGTTGATTATCAATCCACTTCAGTACATCATCAGGAAGCTCTTCCCACTCCCAGAAAGATTCTGAATGAACCCTCATCATACTTCAAGTATTTGGTAAGCAGACGACTAAGCAGTTCCCTGCTTCCTAGCCAACTGCCTAGCCAACTGCTCACCAATAAGCAAAGACTTTCATCCATCACAGAAAGCTGTTACACATTACATAAAGGGTAAAGACTTCCGATGTGCATCTATTAATCTCTCAAAAGATTATAGATCAACTCTTCTAGAGGGAAATATCTGAAAAGGTCGAAAAGATTTAAAAGTCTATTCAACCCCCCCCCCCCCCTCTAGACTTTTACCCTATCTGGGACTATCAATATCCTTCCAATGGAGCAGATAAGCCAACAAAAAATACCGGACCCAAAAAATAGGCCCACTATAAGAGGCTAAACCGGACAGGCCCAACACAATAACCCAAAAGACTCTTACAAGAGATAACCCAAGAAAATTAAGCCAAATCTAATTGCTTTGCCATCCTATCTTAATTATAATGAAACAACTTATGAGAGAATTAGGATTATATAATATCCCAACATAATTATATTTATTTGTCTCTTATGAATAAATTCTGATCACACAATTTTGACTTTTCTTATTTCACTCACTGCGAAAAATTTGAGAATAACTTCTTGTTTTTTATTTACTCACTCTTCCCTTATAACTTGTAATTTTCTTTTTTTTTATTCTACCAAAAAATTTGTCATTTCTCTTGTAATCATTGAATTGTGATTTCAATTATTTCTGTGTGGTTGATGTTTGTGCAGAGGAGAGAAATAATATGAATCACAAAATAGTTGATTAAAAGGGAAAGTGACAAGGTCTTTTGAGACGTTTCAAAAAGGAAAGATGACAAAGTTTTAAGGAACGGAGAGGTATCTTCTTCTTCTTCTTCTTCTTCTTTGATGGGTAGATTTTTTCATCAACGATGTGCATGTCATGTTATAAATTTATGTGTGCAAGATGGTCTAAAAGCGTTGGGAACATCTTTGGAGGTAGTCAAGGGGGGATTAGACGTATTTGGGGTAATGGACAACTTAGAAAAAAATGGCATGATTATTTGATAGAAAGAGGTGAGAAATATGTGGCTTTTCCTAAAGATTTGTCTATTCGTTGGAATAGTACTTATAAGTTAATTGCAGTTCTTCTTATATATAAACAACATTTTCCTACTTTTACGAAACAAAATGATAACTACATTATAAACTCGGCTGAGATCGACAAAATGAAAAATTTTGTAATGTTTTGATATATTTTAATAATGCAACTGAAACTTTTAGTCATGTTTATAAATCTACCTCAAACCAATTTATTCGTGAATCTGTTAATCTCGCCGATGCTTTTTCAAATTTTGAGAATGCTGATTGTGTGAGTTATTTTGCTAGTTTTATGAAGGAAAAGTTTTTAAAATATTATTCACATATTCCAAATATTTATGGTATTGCATTTGTTCTCGATCCTCGTTTTAGACTTGATTCTTTAGAAGAATGTTTGAATTATTATTATGCTGCTTTTTTTGGCCCAATGCCAATGTATGAGGACAACCCAATTGATCCGAAAAAAGAATACAACGAGGTTAGTGATATATTTAATGCATTATTTAATGAGTTTAATGCACAATATGGCAACGCGCCCCCTCCCCCGACACAAACATCTTCATCTAAAGGAAAATCAATTTTGAAATCTACGTTTGGTAATCTTATTAAAAAACGAAATCAACTCCCGCTACTCAACAAAGCACAATTAATGAGATTTCTTTGTATTTAACATATGATGTTGATATTGAAGAAGATGATGATTTTGACGTTCTAAACTGGCGGAAGGGAAAAGAAAAAATGTTCCCGGTTTTAGCAAAGATGGCTAAGCAAGTGCTATCAATGCCGGTTTCAACAGTTGCCGTGGAACAAGAATTTAGTTCAGCCGGCAATGTCCTAACGCAATGTAGAACAAGGTTGAGCACAGAATCTCTTGAGATGCTTATATGCTATCACGATTGGTTGAAGGTGACCCGTAGAGGTCAAGAAATTGACATCACCTCATCCCAACACTTTATGGATGAATCTACAACCGAGGGTGGCTCTACGGCCTCTACCTATGTCAGAGATTCCGATTGATTAGTATTTCATGTTTTAATTTTACATTCAATTCTCAATTGTAACCTGTAAACTTGTAGTTCATATTCACAATTTACATAATGTATTTCTTATTGTATTTTTTCTTAATTGTCAAATGTAGTTCCTATTTCATTTCAAATAAATGCACTTGAAATTTGTTTTTAATACTTGTATAAAACTATTAAGTATAAATTATTAAAAAAAATTGGATTTAACCGGCCCGGCGGGTGGTCCGACCCGTGACCCGGGCGGGTGGCCCGGCCCGAACCGGAACCGTCCAGACCTCGGGCCGATCTCGGGCCCATCACTTACAAACCGACGGCCCGGCCGGGCCTAGGCCCGAATACACCCCTAAGGAGAGAGAATGAATTGGAACCACAAATTCTTTACTTAAAGGGGAAAGTGACAAAGTTAATGGGACATCGAAAAAAAGAATGTTAGCAAAGTTATAAGAGACAAAGGGAGTATTACATTACGGACTAATTTTGTTCAAATTCTAATTCATTACTTTATATATTTAATGAACATTTATGTATTTATAATTACACATAGAAACTAATATAAATCCATATGATACAAAGAAATGACTTGAACAATGAAGAGAATTGAGGAGATTCCCCTATAACGCAAAAAGTAGAATCAGATCCCATACTATACCAAATAATGCAAAAGAAAAAGAGACAGAACGATGGAGCATTATAAAATAAAAACCAAGTAGAACAGAATGTCCCATGAACGGGTGCCCCCTTTGAAGAAGCCACTTTAGTAGAGTCTAGTCCAGCAGTTTGGTTATGTCTACATCCGTTGCACTCTTCCAGAACCAGAACTTGAAGAAGAAGACATACATCTATGTGGCGCCCAAGATCAGGAACTTAAATCAGTTTGATGGGAGTCCCACAAAGTTTTTCCAGTTCACTCTCTAAGACATTCAACAAACTTTCCTTGGTCCGCCTATATATCCAAGCTTCACACTTCCGGTCCCAATCAAATCTTGACGGACCACTATCAAAAATATAATGCGAAGACTATTAAAGCATATATGAACTTTACCGAATTACCAAGCACAAAATAACAGTACACACATGACAATTTACAATTTGAAGGATAAAGAAATAGGTAGGTACCTTACTGGCGATGACATCCATATTTGCCTATTAGGCATTTGTTTGTTTATCACATAGGTCCCCAAACTACCAAGCTTCAGTGTGAGAACCTCATTCTGCAAATGGAACCCAAAACTAATACACTATAGTCAACAACATTATATATACTGAATATGAAACAAAATGGTATAGCTTTATCCTGCTTACCCCATAGTCAACATCAAACCCAATAATATCTATTAAATCACCATATTCCTGTCATCAAAAAAAAAGATAGACGACTAACAATGCATAACTCGCAATATTGTTGGTACGAATATACATAAAGATCGTTGGAAATACCAAAACAGCCGAGTCAAACCGATATCCCATTAACGATCTTACAGAATATACAAGTATCATTTAAGAACAAAATTTTCAGAAATGATCAATAATTAGAAAATAATAGAAGGCATGAAACATTTAGGAACAAAAATGTACAATAGCTACCTCCAACTTCTCAAGGAGGTCATGGATAGTAGAGTTAGCCAGCTTGTGATACTCATCTTCCTCCAGCAGTAAACTGCACATATGTCAATTTAGTAAAGGGGAATGTGCTCTTGAGATAGTTTCACATAAGAAATTGATCTATATAGAACTAAAACATATACAAAATACACGAATAGGACAACTTAGGTTTTATTTAAAATAGGACTTATTAGATCTTATTAAAGTAGAAATCTTCCCAAATTAAGAATGAACAGTCCTCTTTTGGAAAGAAAACAGTGATGATCCTATTTGTGCACTTTATATATGCTTTAGTTTTATTTAAGGAATTTTCTCATAACCCATTTGCCTTTTATTGATATAAGCCCCAGAATGTATGATAGGACCTCTCAAATCACAGTAGGAAATCACAGGAATAAGAATGAAAGATGTAAAAGTAACTAAACTTCATTAACAAAGATGAACAGTTTACAGAGTCCCAAAGAAGGAGATAATACTCCAACTTCCCAGTCCCACTTCCCAGTCCCAGACTCAAAGTCTAAACAGCCTGCCTTCCCTCAGCGGCTTTATTCTATATATAGCCTTCTAAAAATAGAAGGTCGTTATTAGTTACTAACAGCCAATAACTAATAACAAGTTAGTCTATTTGGGCCTTCTAGAATATACTCTCCCATAGTATCTATTCTCATTAGTTAGACCAGCCGGATCCCTATCAATACCCCCTCCTTGCAGAACCAACTTGTCCTCAAGTTGGAGGTCAGGAAACTGATTCTGGATCATTTGAACATCCTCCCATGAGTCTTCGAAATCAGGAAGATCCTTCCAGTGCACTAGAATCTCCTTCTTCCCTTCCTGATTAAGCCTACTGTCTCTCACAGTTTCAGGTCTCACTTGCAACTCACATTCTTCTGTGAGGCAATCTGGGAGGTTTTGGTAATACACTGTGGGTTTCAACACCTTCTTCAGCAACGAAATGTGGAATACAGGGTGTATTCTACTTCCCTCAGGCAACTTCAATATGTAAGCTACAGGGCTTAGTTTTTCTGAAATTTCATAGGGCCCATAAAATCTTGGACTCAGTTTTTGATTGATTCTTCTAGCCAAACTTTTCATCTTGTAGGGTTGTATCTTTAGAAAAACTTCGTCTCCCACTTCAAACACCTCTTCCCTTCTATGTTTATCAGCTTGCTGCTGCATCAAATTCTGTGCTCTGGTCAAATTTTCTTTCAATTCAGATAACATACAGTTCCTCTCAGCCGTTAACTTTGCCACTTCATCCACTGATGTCAAACTGACATCACCCCTGATGATGGCAGGTGGGGTTTGCCCAAACAAAGCCTGATAAGGGGTACTTTTCAAGGAGCTGTGATAGTTGGTATTGAACCAATATTCTGCCCAAGGAAGCCACTTGACCCATTGTCTAGGTTTCTTCCCACTTAAACACCTCAAATAGGTCTCTAAGCATCTATTGACCACTTCGGTCTGCCCATCACTCTGTGGGTGATATGCAGTGCTATATTTGAGCTTGGTCCCTGCCAATCTGAACAATTCTGACCAAAAATAGCTCAAGAAAAGACTGTCTCTATCACTGACAATTGATTTTGGAAATCCATGTATCCTGACTACCTCCTGAACAAAGACTTCAGCTACTCCTTTGGCATTAAAAGGGTGTGCCAGAGGTATAAAGTGTGAGAACTTTGTTAGTCTGTCCACCACCACTAGAATAGTATCCTTGCCTTGAGATTTTGGTAGACCTCCAATGAAATACATGCTGATATCCCTCCACACATGTTCAGGTATTGGTAAGGGTTGTAACAAACCTGCAGGCTTCAGAGCTTGGTACTTATTCCTCTGACAGGTTTCACACCCTGAATAAAATCTTTGATGTCAGCTCTCATGCCCACCCAAAAAAATAAGTTGGCAATCCTCTTCATAGTCCTGAAATAGCCTGAATGTCCTCCAATAGCAGAATCATGATATTCCCTGAGAATACTCAAAATTCTAGGGGATCCCTTTGGCAAAACCAACCTCCCTTGGTAGTATAATAACCCTCCTTTCATCTTGTAATCTGGGTATTGGTCTGACTGAGTCAACATTTTCTGAATAACATCCCCCCATTTAGGGTCTTTCTCCAGTTCTTCTCCCAAACCTTCCCACTCCTGGCAAGATACTGTTGATAAACCTGCATAAGTAGACTTCCTGGAGAGTGCATCAGCAGCTTTGTTCTCAATCCCTGGTTTGTATTTAATGGTGAAATTGTGCCCCATCAGCTTAGCTATCCATTTTTGTTGATCTTCTCCCATCACCTTCTGATCAGTCAGATATTTTAAACTCTTTTGGTCAGTATGTACTTCAAAATGCCTTCCCAAAAGATAAGGTCTCCATTTCTGAATAACAAAAACAATAGCCATCAGTTCTTTCTCATACACAGATTTACTCAGATGTTTGGGAGACAATTGTTTACTCATGTAAGCTATTGGACCTCCCTCCTGCATAAGTACAGCCCCCAACCCTTTTCCTGAAGCATCTGTCTCAACTACAAACAGTTTGTTAAAATCAGGCACCCTTAGAACTGGTACTGAAACCATAGCATCCTTCAGTTCTTGGAAAGCATTGGTAGCCATCTCATTCCATTTAAAACAGTCTTTTTTTAATAATAAAGTGAGAGGAGCAGCAATCTTACTGTAACCTCTCACAAACCTCCTGTAATACCCAGTTAGACCTAGAAATCCCCTCAATTCCTTCAGATCTTTAGGGATATTCCACTTCTTCATAGCCAAAAATTTTTCAGGATCAGCTGCTACTCCTTCCTCTGAAATGATATGTCCCAAATAACTCAACTGTCTTTGACCAAAAGAACATTTCTTCAGGTTAGCTACCAACTGATTTTTCTGCAAAGCCCCCAAAACCAGTCTTAAGTGTTCTTTATGATCTTCTCTTGTCTTGCTGTAAACCAATATATCATCGAAGAACACCAAGGCAAATCTCCTTAAGAAAGGTCTCAATACCTCATTCATGAGTGACTGAAAAGTTGAGGGAGCGTTAGTCAGCCCAAATGGCATTACTAAATACTCATAATGTCCTTCATGAGTCCGGAAAGCTGTCTTATGAGTATCCTCTGCCTTCATTCTAATTTGATGGTACCCGGATTTAAGATCCAACTTAGAAAATATTCGGGCACCACCTAATTCATCCAAAAGCTCCTCTATCACCGGTATGGGAAACTTATCAGGTACAGTCACCCTATTAAGGGCCCTATAATCCCCACAAAACCTCCAACCGCCATCTTTCTTCCTTGCCAATAAAATTGGACTACTGTAAGGACTATTACTGTTTTTAATAATTCCAGATTTCAGCATTTCCCCAATGATTTTCTCTATTTCATTCTTTTGATCAAATGAATACCTGTAAGGTCTGAGATTTGGAATATTAGCTCCCTCCTTGATATTAATTGCATGATCACAATCTCTGGCAGGTGGAAATTTCAGTGTAGCTGAGAAAACTTCTGGAAAATCTGCAATCAACATTTCCCAATCACCTCCAATTTCTGACTTTTGTTCTTGTTCCTCCTGCTGTCCTTCACAGTATAACAGGTAGCCATCCCCCACCTGATGTAATATTCGGGCCATAGTCTTCATTGAAACTTCCATCTGATTTGAAACCATATTTCCTTGGATGATGCAAGTGCCTCCCTGATTCCTCCATTTGATAATTTGTTTAAAATTTATCTCCATGTCTCCCAGTTCAGTCAACCATTCCATTCATCATTTTCATTTTCATTTACCCCAGTGCCGCAAAGGCTCCCACCTACGGTGGGGTAAGGGGGGGTCGGATGTACGCAGTCTTACCCCTGTACTAAAGCACAGAGAGACTGTTTCCGGATGACCCATAGTGAAAATCCCATCCAAAATTGCATGGACTGACTGCTGCTTCATGACAAAGAAGCGCAAACAGTTTAGTGAGTCATTTTGCTTTATTCCATCATAATCTCAAGCCAAAAAATAATGAATCTTTGGCTCCATTGCAAATGATGGAAAATCAGTCAACCATTCCATTCCAAGGACTAAATCAACACCTCCTAGATCCAGTAGATAGAAGGTTTGATGAATTTCCACTCCTTGTACATTTATACCAACTTCAGTACATTTGCCCACATTAGGTATGCAGTCTCCATTCCCTATTTGTACCTTATATCCCTTGATTGGACTATAAGGTATATTCCACCTTTCTGCTAAAGTTCTGGACATGAAGTTATGAGTGGCCCCACTATCAATGAGAATTGTCACTTCCATCTCTTTCTCTTGCCATTGTATTTTACCCTTCACCTTGAAAGTAGTCATAGAAGGAATGCCTTCCTTGCTCAAAATGGACAGCTGCATGTTATTCATGTCCATCTGAACTGTATTGTTGGATTTATCCCCTTCTGATTCCATATACTCCACATAAGATATCTCTTCTCCCTCTGAATTTTCCACCAAAATCATCTTGTAATTTTTCATTCTGCAGATGTGTCCTCTTCCCCAATTTTCACCACACTTAAAACATAATCCCTTCTTGCTCCTCTCTAGCAGTTCTTCCTGAGACAATCTAGGTCCCTGCTTCTTCAATTCTTTCCCTTCATTGTTAATTTTATTATCCATTATCACCTTAGATGCATTACCAGAGTTGTTTTCATTCCAATTTTGTCCCTGAGATTGACTAAACACCTTGTTCTGACTCTTTTTCTTACCTTCCTCCTTGTTTTTCACAAACATAGCTTCATTGTTCTTGTTTTCAATCAAGGACACAGTATCCATTACCTCAGCTAGAGTCCTGGTAGTATACAGCTTCAACTCTGCCCTTATATCCCTCTTCAGCCCCTTGAGGAAGACTCCTTTCAGCACTTCTTCAGATAAGTGTTCCTGAGAGGAAATGGCTGTTTCAAATTGGTTTCTATACTCGGTTATAGAACCTTTCTGCTTCAGATTGAATAGAGACCCCAAAGGATCCTGTACTACTTCCGGTTGAAATCTCCTGATCAACGCCTTAGTAAATGCGTTCCAAATTAAGTGTATTGCTTGTCTCTCCCACCATTGGAACCAGCTAAGAGCTTGATCTTCCAAGGCGATCACTGCAACATCCAACTTCTCTTCTTCCGCAGTTCTATTCAACCGGAAATACCGGTTCATCCTCAATAGCCATCCGCTAACATCCTTCCCACTGAAAACCGGCAGATCAATCTTCCTCCCCATACTCGGATTGTTTCTATGATTCCGTCGCGGTTCATACTCAGCTCGCGAACCTGTGTGATTCGTTTGATTATCCGAGTCGCCAGAGGAATCATCATTCCTCGAATGCCTGTGCTGAGTTGTTCGATGAGAGTTGTTCGACCTCTGCGAATTGCTCCTCGATCGATGATTGATCTGAACATGTAATTCTGCAATGCTAGCCTGGATCGCTGCTTGCATTGCCGCCAGATTGTCCATACTCGCCTGCATATCACGCTAACTTCGTTCCACATCGTTGACTCTCCCTTCCATTTTGGCGCGCGTATATCTCATCCAGCGATCGAATGTCTCTGATACCAATGATAGGACCTCTCAAATCACAGTAGGAAATCACAGGAATAAGAATGAAAGATGTAAAAGTAACTAAACTTCATTAACAAAGATGAACAGTTTACAGTCCCAAAGAAGGAGATAATACTCCAACTTCCCAGTCCCAGACTCAAAGTCTAAACAGCCTGCCTTCCCTCAGCGGCTTTATTCTATATATAGCCTTCTAAAAACAGAAGGTCGTTATTAGTTACTAACAGCCAATAACTAATAACAAGTTAGTCTATTTGGGCCTTCTAGAATATACTCTCCCATAGTATTTATTCTCATTAGTTAGACCAGCCGGATCCCTATCAATGTATAACTTTCTAGTTTTAACTTTAAAGTTACTAGACTATTTACTACGATGATATTGTTAGTGAGATATTTTAGCATCTTTATAAAAAATAGTATTAGCAGTTTGCAGGTGTAACTAGTTTGTAGGTGTAACTGTGTAATCTAAAACTCCCTCCGTCCCGCAATTACGTTCTTAGTTTGAACTCAGGGGTGTTAGACAAAACAACTTTTTGATTGACTTCCCATTCCCAAGTTTGCCCTTTCTCATAGTATGAGAGAGAAAATTAATAATTAATGATGCAATTTTCATAGGGGTAAAAGAGTATTTTACCCCCTCAAATATTACAAAAAGATAGGTATGAACTTTAATTTTGACACATTCCAAAACGGAAAGTGAGAATTCAAATGCGGGACAGAGGAAGTAACATAGGTTAAGAATTCTCAAAATTGAAGTTGCTTCGTAAAACTGGAACGATGAAGCTATGGATTTTTTTCATACAGCCGGATTTCCCATATTTGCTTTGATGGCACCATTGAACTACTTCCCAACTCAATTGGGATGAAAAGTTGTAAAGAAATTCAAGAGAGTGCTTCAAAACATGTTAAGGGGTCCTGGTTCTTTAACTACAAGCACTTCAAGAAGTTCTGAACTTTTTAAAAGCGAAGTGCACAAAAGTCATGAGACGGGCTTTGATTTACAGCCATAGCTTTCTGGAAAAAAACACTCATATAGAAGTAATTAACTCTTATATTTTTTCATCTTCCGCGTTAATATAGCTTCTTCATCCAAATTTAAGGCCACAAAGTCATCACTATCTGACTATCATCATGATGCCGCCAAAGTTCTCATTATCATCATGATGAGGTCTATGGATGAATTTTTTTCTTTCTCCTTATGCTTTCAACCCCCACTTTGTCTTTCCTTCTAGAAATGTCTCTAGGGTAATATGGTGTATCTTCAACCCCAGAAAATATTGGAATGTCTACCAAAAGAAAATTTAAAGTGATATTTCCTTATCATTGATTTACATATACTTCTTTTGTAAACCCAAAGAAGACTCAATACTCAATAGGAAGGAATCCGTTTTTCACTCTAGTGGTTCAATAACTCTAGAAACTCTGAGCTCCTCACCTCTCTATTAGTCATATTATGTAAATGTTCTGCTCTCTCATTTTCTGCAGATGCAAATTACTTCACAAACGTACTACAGAAGTGGTACTGATGTTTTCAAGTTAAACCTCAGAAGGACTTTGATTCGCTCATGAAAGGCATTAACAAAGGAATTCTAGTAGTACAAAATTACTTGTTTTTGTGATTGTACAAAAATATATGTTAGTGGAATGGAAGATATTGTGTGTGGCATTGTTTACTTTGTTGAATCAACTGATGTCTTTATATTCTTTCATCATTTCATTTTCATTTACCCCAGTGCCGCAAAGGCTTCCCACCTACGGTGGGGTAAGGCGGGTCGGATGTACGTAGTCTTACCCCTGTACTAAAGCACAGAGAGATTGTTTCCGGATGACCCATAGTGAAAATCCCGTCCAAAATTGCATGGACTGACAGCTGCTTCATAACAAAGAAACGCAGACAGTTTAGTGAGTCATTTTGCTTTATTCCATCATAATCTCAAGCCAAAAAATGATGAATCTTTGGCTCCATTGCAAATAATGGAAAATGTCTTTATATTCTTTCAAGTGTAAATATTTATATTACAATAATGTGTGTTATGAGTAAATGTATTCCCCTCTTATATAAAAAATTACTCTTTAGAATATCATACCCAGCGAATTATCAACAAAACTTATGGATATGGAATAGATGAAAAAACACAAAACCTAGGATCGACAATTACACTGTAAAAATTGTATACAAGACCACAAGCCCAACTTGGCTTAACCACTTTCATAGCATGAAATTGCTGCATTAACAATGAGCATCCGGTCTTTGAAATTAAAATGTGAAACCTTAATGTGGTCCATTATGGCACTATCGAATCAAACATTTGCATGTTGTTGCTTACATGTAAGGTCCGTGCGGCTGGTGGACACTAAATGCAGCTAATGTTCAGGATATCTGTCACAGAATGATTTATATGTTTCTTGCAAAGAACAAAATCTTACCAGAAATGTTTCTTCCCTTCATAGTTCCAACACTTTTGCATCTATAATACTCTACTCTCCTACTGTTTTATTCTGCTTTGAGTCATTTCTATAAGTTATGTAGGAATTATAGACTATAACCACCTGCTATGCTAAAAAAATGACTTATAACGTTTTCCCGAACTGACATTGGCCAAACAAATATCTAGAAGAAACACAAGCAATAAGTGCACTATGTAAATGGCTTCTCACCTGTAATCAATGGCGGTTGGACCTAGAGCTTCCTTATTGAGCTGAGAGGTGTAGCAACAGATGCTTCTAGAAGGGTAAACCACGAAAGGTTCGGGTCTATAACCTGAAGGTTCTGTAACATCACTATACACTGCAAACAATGAAGAGGATACGTAAGCCGTTCGTGTTGAATAAAACGAGTGAAGCGGAGGTCTAAATGCTTTCCACAATGTTCTTCTCAGTAGTATGAGTTTCAGTGGAGAAGAAAGAGCATCCATTTTCATGTTCTGAACCTTTGGTTCAGCCCAATCCTCTCTTCGTAATCTACATATATGAAGACATAAAGTGTCAAGAAGACTTTTTCCGCCCAAAATTTCAGTTCAGTGTTACAGTGTATGGGTCACAAATTTACTCGTCTGTTTAATTGGGGCCTAGAATCAGAAGGTTTCTTCTCACCAAATACTACAGAGTAAAATTTATACTCGATGCATATCAGTATATACTCAGAAAATTATAGAGCACAAATTTAAACAAATATAATCCAATAGCAATTCCCCTAAACTCTAGATCTCTAGTCTTCAATTAGCATTTAGGCATTTAGCAACGATGAACGCTGATTTCAGAAATCAGAATTAAGAACAAATCACAAAATATCTACAATTCTAACCTGGGAAGTGGGAGGTTCTGATCTTCTAGAGTTCTGGGCTAGCAGAGTCGCAGGGCTGCACGGGCGCACGGCTGGGAGACTCTCAAAGTTGTGAACTGCGAACTGCGAACGTCCAGAGCAAGCGGAAGATGGTCAATCGGTTATTGTCGATATCTGCAGATCCCCTAATCAAGGGCAATTCAAATTGGGCCTATTATGCTATGGGTATATTTACAAAGGGAGCTAATATTTTTCTGGACCCTAAATTTTTGCCAAAAATAATGGGCCTGAGGCGGATGCCTCTTTGCCTCTTATGTAGGTTCGGCCCTGTTGGAGATATTTTTTGACATGTTGTGGTTTAGGGAAATATTTTTGGGCGTGTTATTGTTTTGTCTGTGCAAATATTTTTAGGTCTATACATTGTTTTGTATCGTTTGTGACTCGTGATTCTCTTTGACAGGGCTCTATTGTAACATCGTCTCCAATTTTATTTACTTTTATGTAAATCATGTATTGAACCTTATGAACTGGTTAATGAATTTACGAGGTTGTAAATTTTTTGTTATTACTTTTGCGTGAATAGTGAATTGCACGTGGGGCCCACATCGGGAGCGGGGACCACCTATATTTCCGAGACCACATATTATATTCATCTTGGTCTAGCTAATATGTATATGGTGGTGGATATTTTAGTCGGGCCATAGAAAGGGCATATGGTTGACCGGTCGATCAAACAAGGCCCAATTTACCGGTATTAGTGATTTATCGGATAACAGTCCGAAATGGATTTCGGAGACTTCAAAATTAAAGTTGAGGAATATATATTCATTATAAGAGCCCATAGGGGTTGAGAATGTGTGATATATTTTATTTGGCCCGATAAAATATAATATAATTAAAACAATCCGAGAAATGCAACTTTCGGGAGGCGATTGTACAAATCGGGACACAAAGGGATGACCTCCCACATGAGTGGGGGCCACCCCACATTTTTGTGCTCAAGGTTGACAAAGGGGGGCTGCATTATGGGAGAGGAGTGGTTGAGATGAAGGGGCACCTAAATAAAATAGAGGTGGACCTCTTTTCTTTCACTCATTACTCAAAGAGACAAAAGAGAAGCACATCCCCTCTTTTCCTCACCTAATATTTCGGCCAGCACCAAGGAGAGAGAGAGAGGGGGGGGGGGGGGGGGGAAGCTCTGCAACTTCATACTCCATAGCCAAGTGAGCTCAAGGAGACAAGGTCCAAGGAGGAAGATTTAAGAGGAAAAAAGTTAGGAAAGTGTGAAGGATTAAGGTAATACTCTTATAATAACTTTTCCTCCACTTTTTATTTATCATATGGCTTATATAGCATATGAAGGACCCCTAGGGTTGTTCTACATGTTTAGAAATATAGAATGAGGGGTTGGAAGGTAGTTCTAAGTCCAAGAACGGACTTAGAAGCCAAAGTGACCGGTTCGCCGGAAAATAACCTTTTAGAGGTTATTTGTATTGATATGGGTTTTATGGTGATAAAACCTTGATAGGAACTTGTCTAAAGTGTTCCTAGAGTTCGCCGGAATTCGCCGGAGTTTCGTCGGAGTTTCACCGGAGTTCAACCGAGGAGCGTAGAACACGCTAAAGCTTAGTTAAGGTGAGTGGACGGCTTAATGTCTTATAACTTTTGGGGTGATTATGAGATTACCTAAATAAATGTTATATATGTTCAAAATGATGTTTAAATGATATTTAAACATGTGATGTGCCAAAATGGTTAGGCTTGAATGGAATGAATTACTTGAATATACATGAAGCATGATATGAGAAATTTTTGTGAAAATGCATGCTTGACTTGAAAGTGAAAGAAGCATGATAATTAATATTATTAACTTGATACACATGGTGATTAAATTGGTATGAGTAAGATTTGTAGTGACGGTCAATGGGGCGTTGACCGGTTGACTACGGGACAACCGACACCGGTTGATATTATTTACTTGCGAATTGAAATGAATGCATGGCTTTGCATGGACTGATATATGCATGGGTTTTATGGATTGATTTAGCCTTGTATAAATGATTATTATATAGGCCTTATCTAGGTTGATATGAGGTAGATCATAGGGATACATTTGGTGGAGAACCCAAGGACCAAGGAGTCCTCAAAACTCATATATATATATATTTCGGTGGAGAACCTAGGGACTAAGGAGTCCTCAAAACTCATATACACATCGGTGGAGGACCCAAGGGCTAATGAGCCCTCAAAACTCGGAAATACATATGGTGGAGAACCCAAGGACTAAAGAGTCCTCAAAACTCGGAATATAAAAAAATATTTCGGTGGAGAACTCAAGGACTAAAGAGTCTTCAAAACTCATATGTATATTGGTGGAGTATCCAAAGATTTTGTTGTCCTTAAAACTCATAGATTTTGATTAAAATTGTGGACAAGGAGGAGTCCTACACACTCATAAGTATATGGGCGGGTTGAGATTTTTAGTCAAGGACTTGACTACTAAATTTTTCCCAAATAAACGATAACCCACGGGTTAAGTATTTTCCAAGTATATATACTAATATGTATTTCAAGACTTGGGGGAAAGGGACATAAGTATATGTATCACCCTATGTTTGGGTCTTATACTTGAAACATTAGTTATGTTTCATTTAGCCTGCTACTCGCTCGGTATTTGTACTTACCCCTTCGGAGGGCCCCACCATTTTTTCAGGTTAAAGCTAGAGCTTGCTACCTGCACCTTCTTACGGGTGAAGTCAACTTAAGGAAGACGTGGTTCCTGCTTCCTTATTTCCTTTCAAACTACCAAACACTTGCTCATGGATATTTAATTTGTTATAAACTATTTTTGGGCTTGCATGCCCATGTCTTGTCCGATTGTGGCGTATGATTTACCGTTGAATATTTCCGATATTCATTGGTTTAAATGTGATGTTGATATGTATGTTTACTACTGAGTATGGATGGATTATTTTCTCTAACGCCTCGTATGATTAAGTGAAGTTGACTTGCGAGTGACGTCGCTTGATCATACGGCGGTTGTACACGCGCTTAGATGCGGTCTGGGGCGTGACATCTATAGTTAAAAATTTCGCTTAAAGACCATTTCTCTGCTCAGTATTCAGTGTGCGGAAAATATAATGAAGCATTCGAGCTGCTACAGTCAAGCTTATCTGCCAATCAATTGCAACTGCTCCGCCAGTTACCATGGGACCCTCTTGTGGATGTCCCGAAGATTCAATTTTCCACCGAAATAGTTCATATGATGCTTTTCGCCTTGTGGAGGAACAACCAGAAGATGAACTCTGGTTTCGCATTCAAGGAAAGCTTTTAAAATTTACCTTTGCTTATTATTGTCACATCACTGGATTACCCTCTGAAGGCCAAATGCCATCCTTACCTGAGCAAGATGAAGGTGGGGAAGATGAAGTTGAAGCTGAGGTTGAAGAGAAAGAACCTGGGGCGGTGGCAGATATGTACCTTGGTGGCTCAGTGGATACTACCTTTGAGAAGTTCAAGGAAATACTTCAAAATTTGAGGCCTTCCAGACGAGGTGATCCAATTGATACTGTGAAGTTAGCCTCTTTGTACTTTGTTCAGTGTGTATTGCTAGCCAAAGACAGGACCACGAAGATAAATCCTGACTTCGTAAGATTGGTCAATGATTTTGACAATTCAAAGCTTATCTGTGGGCTAAGGAGGCTTACAAGTTATTGGTCACCCATTTGAAGGGTTTAATGGTTGGGCAACCGAAGAAGTTTAAAGAACGCAAAGTTCACTGTCTATGGTGCTCCATTAGTTCTACAGGTATCATAAATGCAATTATGCATTTATCTATTTATTTGGTTATTTATTTTTTTATTTATTTATTAATATATGTGTTTTTGAGGTTTATTTAATTGTATTTGTTAGACAATATATGTTCTTCACAGACACTAAATATTGGTCACGGACAAAAAATGGCATACAAACATACAATGATGTTCTGTATTTTGTGTTATTTATAGGTTTGGGCATACAAAGCAATACTAGAACTTGGGAAAAACTTTGCCAACAAGGTGGGTGATACAAAGGTGCCTATATTACACTGGAGTGCGGATTGAATCTTCCGGATGAGAAAGCTTAAAAAACCATGTTTGCTGATGTATGTGTCATTATTTATGGTAATTACATATACCATATACCCTTATTTGTAATCTAATGTACATCATTTCCTTTATGGTACGAGGACGAAACAACTTCCAGTTCTGATGGAGGAGAATCTAATGAAGGACAAGAAGACAATGAAGATGAGCAATCATGGAAGGAAGAGTTGGAAACATTTTAGAAGTTAAATATCATGGAGCGGATGCTGGACGTGTGTATGTGTGCTGAAAGAATGGACACAGGCTCTCTAAAATGAAGGACCTAATTCTTCAGTTGATTAGCAAAGGTAACCCATCAGGGGGCAAAAAGGTACGATCTCATCACTTAGTTGTGTGTGCACGTTATTTTAGTGTATGTGGCATACATACTAAGTACATGTCATTTCATTGCAGGATAAGAGGGCTGATTCTGTACACCATGAGGAGGAGGAAGCAAACATTGTGGATGAACAAGAGCCAAGCAAGGGTGAGGAGAACATTCTGTCCGGGGAATCATCTACACTTGCATGCCCCATACATCATGAGCAGGTTATTAGTGTTGATGACATTCTGATGAATGCTATGACTGAGGTATGCTTTTTCCATATTTTAGTTGTTTATGTTTTTCGTATCGAAATAAATTTGCGATTCATGTAATAGTTGAAGTGTGAGAGTCTGGACTGTAAGGAAGAGGCCACGTTTCCAGATGTATTGGTGTGCTTAAGTGAGGTGCCTAGTTTCTTGTAAAAGTTTTTATTATCTGTGTGTGGTATCAAGTGTTGTCTGATTGTTATTTCATTTCGTCGGTGGGGAAGAAAATAATGTCTGTTGTGAGCCATTTTTTCTATGCATGTGGGTGAGGACAAATTCCCTCCTTTAACAATGCCTATCCCATTTGAAACATTAGATTGGGATGGCGTTGTCGAGGATAACGGGACCGGGGTGATAGATGTTGAGGTGCTGGAAGAATATAGTAGGCATGAAGTTAAAAAGAGAAAACGTTTTCGCTCTAAATACCACTGCTCCCCATACACAGACCCTCTTGCGAAACGGTACAAACCCGTTGGCAACATCAATCACGTCTTACTTGAAGCTAGTGATGCTGACTATGCATCTTTGAAAGCTTGGATGGAAGAGGAGGATAGTGTTGAACCTTCCTCATTTATTCTTGAGTTTTCGTCATTTGAATCTGTGAATAGAGCCTTTTTCCGAGAACTTGTTGAACCCGAGGAGTGGTTATGGACCTATGTGAGTGACATTCATTTTTTCCTATATTTTAGTATTGTTATGTGTTGCTGACTTTGTATATTTTGTAGCATTTGGATGCTCTTATGTATCTATTTGGAAAGGCATGGTGGAGAAGCGTTATGAATTAATGAGTCCTTACTTTGTGGTAAGTAATTGATTGGATGTGAACAACTTCATTTACGAATACAAATTCACAACACTTTTACTTTATTTTGTAGCATCAACTTCTGAAGAAGGACCTGGGGAATGACAAGATGTGGTGTGGGTGTGTTAAAGGCAAGGACTTCACAGTTGTAGAAAAGGTTAGTGTCTGCCCACAAACACAAAAGCAATTGTTATGGCGTAGTACTTAATTGTACATACTGTATTTTCAGGTTTTCACCCCCTTCAATTGGGATGGCAAACATTGGGTGGTTGTAGAGACTGACCTTGTTCATAGATTGTTCCGAGTGTACAACTCCTTGAAGTTGAGTAGGATGGTCTCATCTGTGCACCATTTGTGTGTACGATTGCCACACCTTTGTAGGGCGATAAAATGTAGCCATGCTGTTTGTGAATCAGGAAACATGGAACCTTGGATAGCCGAGGCAGTGGACGATGTACCGCAACAAGAAGGGTAAATCTTTATCTGTTCGTGCTTAATTGTGTTTGTGTAGGTCATCTTGTGTCTGTGTGTTTCATATTAATGTTTGTATGACTTCCTATTTGCAGAAGTGGTGATTGCGGTGTCATGGTTGCGGCCTTTGTGGAGGCATTGATGTGCGATGTACCCTTGATGTGTGATGGGAGTTTGCTGTGCGGCTGTGGCGTTTGAGGCGAATGACACCATATATTGTATTAAATGAAGCTTTTGTAAATGAAGTTATGTAAAACCAACATTGTGCTGCCTACCTTTTTTGTCATAACTTATGCAACACAAACACTGTTTTGTCTGCGTCTACCTCTTTTGGCCATAACTTATGTTGTATAAACACTAATTTTGGTTAAGCGAACCATATATTGGTTGTGCCTTGGTATATAATTGCGACTGTCTGTGTGTCATATATTTTTGTCTGTGCGTTATTTTATTTCGTATGTACATGCCATTACGAGAATTGGGCTATATACGATATGTACTATGTTACTATGTAGTTATGTAGTGTTAAAATATTTTTATTATGTGTAATGAAAAATATAATATAATATATGACATTAAATTTTCAGTAGAAACAACATTAAACTCACATATAATATTTTCAATGTTTATATATATTGGTGCTTCAATATAATTTAAAAAAATAACAAAAACTTAACATCGTTAGCACTCGATTTGTTTTTGTAAAACAATTAAGTAGTTGAGATTATTTTTGTGATCTTTTGAAGTAGAGATTATTCTTCAAATGTTTATATTTTAATTTAAGACAATGTAAAAATATTTACCCGAACACATAATTGTCTTTTATATTCGCCTCACTTTTATGTAATAAACAATGTCATTTTTAGACATTTTTTCTCCCTTTATATTTTTTCGTACAGTAAAATACACCCAATACAATGGAAACTGAAACAAATATAGAATAGGTTGTTTGTAGGGAGAATAGTGTTTGTGAAGTATAAAACAATATTGTGTTTAGTGAATGAGTTTGTGAGGTATAAACAATTGTTCGTGCATTTACTGATTGTGTCTGTGAGTGGGTTAAAAGTGTCTGCATGTAGGGCATAATAACGTGCCTTTATATAATACTGGTTGGGGCTTCATATATATATCAATGTACATCATACAAGGGGCATTCAAAACAAAGATAAATTTAAATCTAAACCACTAGAGTGCATCAGAGGCAGATCTAGTCATTACGTTTTGGGCGTTCGAAAGTAAATTAAAATACTCCGTAAGAATTATCTCACTACTCATATTCATGAATGGTTACGTAAATTATTAATGAATTTTCGTCAAAGAATCATTCCTATTAACAATTTAACACAAATTCATTCACTAAAATGTCAATAATCATAGTAGAGTACCATCCTAACATATAAACCATTGCCACATTAATAGATAATCATTAATCGCAGAATCCTTATCCTACTGCCACATAAAGAGTTCTACTGTTGTGCACACTTAGAATTTTAGATATATACAAATTGTACATTTATACAAATACAATGGGTGAATAGGTGAATGCTACATAAAAACCTACTACATTTTCTAAATACGAATACAAGAATAACTGAAATACAAAATTATAAACGTTTTTAGAATTCTAGGTATATTACTACACAAATACAATGGGTCAAATAATAGTCAATGGCCCACTAAATTAGGTTCAGAAATCTATATAGTATAATAAAGCAAACCTTTAGAAAATTCTTTGGAGGAATTCTTGACATGTGGCAACATCTTTTGTAGAAAAAGTGACATGTGGCAAAATAATAAGGGAAAAACTATTCAACTTCTAATAAAACTCCACTCTTATGTGTCCTAATATAATTTATATGTATAATATATAACATCCTCTATTATCATATGTTATTTTAAACAACACATCTAATACACACACACCGACACACACACACATGTCATAATATTTGCACTCAAAGGGTAGTACAAATTGCAAATACTAAAAAATAAAATAGTTAACAATTTTTTGGCTCCTTAAAGTAAAAAACATTTCTCTCTATTTATTTTCCTATAAATTCTTGCAGATGCTCCCTTACTATGAGTTTTATAAATAGTTTCTTATTTCTTTCCGAAATATGATACTCCATAATTATTAATCCCTTCTTCTCAATGATTTTCTCACACATATCCTTTTTCTTTTATTCATTGGATTTGTGTAGCTCCAAATATTGTAATATTTGTGTAGATCCAAATCATTCTTACATTATATCTTTTTCCAATTCAATATTAATCACATAACATCTTTGTTAATAACTGCACATGTCTCGATCTCAGTGGAATAAATGTGGCATTACTTATCTATTTATTACTACCAAATCAATATCTAATTTAGATTCAATATTTTATCTCATATTTGTTTATACCTTCCTCGCAATTTATGTTTCACGCTGTCCAATGGGCTAGCACTCTCTGATCTTACTCAACCATGGTGAGTTATGCTTTTCATGACTTTAGATCGATATCTAAAGTATTTTTTATTAATAAAATAAAGAAAAAACTATATGTAAAATAGTTAAAATGATCTTCTGCCGTAACTTTGACCAATACACCAAGAAAAACAACTTCAACCTTACGTTTTCCTATTATATATATTACACAATTTTGGACGCGGAATCAAAAGTTACGTGTTTGGTGAAAAAATTAATTGATAAGTCTGTTAAGCCGAAAAACTGAATCACCAAACGGGATTTAGAATTTTTGAAAACACACCCTACAAAAAAGAGATATATATGGAGTATTATATTTTCTTACATATTAATATATTACTGTCATTAAATTTATAAATAAAAATGTAAGTAAAATTTTTATGATTAAACCATGCCTCATAATCACTAACGAAATAAATATAACAAATGTTAAACCATGCATCACTAATGTTAATGAAATAAAATATAACATAAAGTACAGTGGGATAGAGATTTTTTTATAAAAAGAGAATCATGAAGAAGACAAATATATGTATATATAAACAGAAATGAAATAAAATACGGGAAGAATTAGAAAATGGAAAAAATATCTGTCAGGTGAGGAAATTTAACAATAAAACTCTCTTAATAGAGGGACAAATAGAATACATGAATATGGAGAATAAATAAAAACAAAAAGACGAAAAGTAGAATAAAGAGGTGTCTAAGGATAAAAATAAAGGGAAAAAAATCGGGAAAAAAGTAATTGCCCTAAATAGGACGACTAAAACTTGCCTAAAAACATGCATGCTCGAAATTTTATGGCATGTTTTTAATTATTTAATGCATGTTTTTCTTAATATACATGCATGTTTATATGTTTTTCATAATATTCATATGCATGCTCGTAAATTTAATTATTTAATGCATGTTTTTCTTAATATTGTTTTAATGTTTATATGTTTCCGAATATTCATATGCATGCTCGTAATTTTATTGCATGCTTTTAATTATTTAATGCATGTTTTTCTTAATATTCATGCATGTTTATATGTTCTTCTTCATATTCATATGCATGTTCGTAAATTTAATTATTTAATGCATGTTTTTCTTTATATTGTTTTAATGTTTATATGTTTCCGCATATTCATATGCATGCTCGTGATTTTAACGTTTCATAATATGTGTATATCATTTGTTTATATGCTTTAAATATGCCTTAGATATTGTTAATTTAAAAATGCCTGCTTTAGAAGAGTTAATTATTAAATATTTAGTCAAGGTTATTTTTGAGTTTTTTTTAATTTCGGATATTTATTAAGAATAATAATTTCAACTCCATTAATTTTCGCCCCCTCATGTTACACTTTCAAAAAAGTTAACATGTCTAACCCAACAAAATAATGAAACTGTTAATTATTTTTTTAATAATATTTCGGATATTTTATTATTTTTTTAATATTATAAAACACTTTAAAATTTTTTGGATCATTTAACTGATTTTATAATATATTATTTTATAATTTCGGATATCATAATATTTTATTTTAAATAAAACGTTGTTTCATAAATAACATAAAACAGAAATGAAGTAAAAAAATGTATTTTATATATTAAAATAGAAATAAAAAACCAAACAAACTGTTTTTGTTTATATAATACGAAAATGATTTCATATGTTTCATGAAAAATTGATTTTATTGGTTTCATGAATAAACAAAAAATGAAACTGCTTTTAATTTTTTTTTTTGAAAAAATTGATTTTATAGATTTTAAAAATCAGGTCACTGTTTTTTATAAATTAATACCTAACACAATTAAATTCAACAACATAAAAATCATACAAAAAACTCATTCTACCCCTCATATTAAACTCAAGTTTAATATGTTCTATATTTCAAAGATTGATAAATACGTAACACAATTAAATTCAATAACATAAAAATCATACAAAAAACTCATTCTACCCCTCATATTAAACTCAAGTTTAATATGTTCTATATTTCAAAGTTTGATAAATAAATAGGAAACTAATAAGTTTAAACCATTATACCACACAAAAACTTCATAAACAATTATTTTAGAAAACTGTTTTTTATAAATAATACCAAATACAACATGTAATAAACTGTATTTTTCTAAATTAATGCAAAAAACTGATTTCCGATGATTTATAATTTAATAGGGAAAAACTGATTTTATTAGTTTAAATTAAAAAGTTTGATTAATTGATTTTATATAAGGTTTCATAAAAAATATACACAACACAAGTTACCTCCATAACATAAAAATCATCCAAAAAACTGATTCGACCCCTCATATTAAACTCAAGTTTAATATGTTATATTTATCAAAGTTTCATACCACACAAAAACTCCATAAATTGATTTTATAAGGTTTGATAAAATAATATCTAACACAATTAAATTCCATAACTTAAAAATCAAACTAGCTATGATGATCGGGTGCCGTTTATGGGTTCTGAAGGCGTACGGATCCTAGAGAAGGCCAAAGGAGCTAGCTCATCTTCTCATTCGGCATATGATGATCGGGTTACCCGCCTCGAGAAACTATTGGAGGAACGTGAAGCCGAGGCTCGAAGGCGGGATGAAGAAGCTCGGATACGGGATGAAGAGCAAAGAAGAACAAGAGAAAGGTTGGAAGAGATGGAACGCCAAATGCGTATTTTCAACGCCACCTACCGTCCATCCATGCACATACAGCACCCCGAGATGACCCCACAAGTTCCCTTCGCGGGCAATATGGGCAATATGGGCAGTATGTGTAGTAGGGGTTTTGCTAATTATAGCCACATCTCCAACAACTTTCCATATGGATATTATGACGATATCCCGACTCCCGGAGCTCAAGCTTACCGTGGCAGTAGCCGTGCTGGCAGCCGCAGTGGCAGTCGAGGCGGTCATCGTGGTGGCAGCCGTGGCCACGGAAGGCAACCCGATCATCGTGACGAACCTGATGATGCTGATGCTGATTATGATGACCATTGATGGTTTGTAATAATTAGTTTATTAACATTTTAAGGATTTTTAAATTTTGATGTGTTAATGTATGAATATTAATGTGTAATGGTTTGATTGTGTTTAAATAATAGTTTATTTGTGTTTTATAATGATGGTTTGATTAGATTATTATTTATTATGATACCTAATGTGTAAAATAAAAAAATATTTGTCACGGATATTTCCGTGACAAATAGTTATTATTTTTTTGAAAAATAAAAAAATTTATTCACGGATGCGTCCGTGACAAATGAAAGACGATGGGGTTCCGGTGAAGTGTTTTGTCACGGATGCCGTCCGTGACAAATCCGTGACAAACAGTCTCACGGATTAATTTCCGTGACAAAAACGTTATCACGCCGCTGGTGTCACGGATTTTTTCTGTGACAAATCCGTGACAAAAAAACATTTGTCACGGATTTTTTGAACTACCGTCCGTGACAAAATCCGTGACAAACGACGTGTTTTTTTGTAGTGTTATATGTTTATATAGAGAAAATATTAATAGTGTGAAAATGATATAAAAATGTTCTTTGTTAAAAATACTATCATAAAAATATAAAATTATTAAATTTTACATAAATATATTAGTTTAAATAATTAGTCAAAATTTACCATCTTTAACCGGAAAAGTAAAAAATGGCTAAGTAAATTGGGACGGAGGGAGTATTAGAATAAAATGATAGGATGCAATAAAGAACTAGTTGCTAATGGCAGATGAGATGAGGTGTAGCATTAATGGGCTGTTAAAAGCTGATTGATCCTCACCAATATGCCTTGATCAAGCACCGCTAAGTACCCACCAAACTGCACCCCCACCCAAATATGCATGCCCCCTCTTTTACGTACTTTCCCCTACCTCTTTTGACCCTATAAATTGTGAAGTGAGCTCAAACTAATTTACTTCAACTCACTCATTCTCTCCATTAAATTCAACACGTAAGGATTAACCCAAGAACACATCAATGGCGGAAACTCGTCCTTCCCTTTGCACTTTTCTTTTGATTCTCTTCACCATTAATGTACTGTCCTCTTTAAGTGTCCCTGCAATGGCGGCCGGGCGAGGCATCCCCAACGAGGCCGCCGACATCAACGGGGCGTCCAAGAATGTGGACGAGAAACTCCATCCTGAGTTTCTCCACGGTTACGACGGAACCGTCTTGATTCCCGGGTTCGGCCGCGTAGTCATCCCGCCCAAGGGTAAAATAGTGGACCCATTCAACTACAACCCCATCACCGGCAAGAGTGGCGGCGGAACTGGCGCCATCAACCCCTTCGATGGCATTATAGGCGGCGGCTCCGGCTATGTTCCCGGCGGAGATGACACTCTCCTCCCTAACCCGGGTGTTGAGGTACCCAACCCGCCTGTAGCAGCTGGCGGCGGCGATGATGCTGGCAGCCTCACTCCTCCTGCTCGTCGCTGATGATTTGATTATTAGTACGTACGTGAATAAGAAGCTGTTGTAGAAGCTTGACATGAATTGCTTGCGTAATAATATATATAATGGCATGCAGATTTGAAGGTGTCTTGGCCTGGCTGGATTCTTGTTTATTGAGCGTTCGTCTATAGTAGTAGTAGTATATCTTAGGAATCATCGATTTAATTTCTTGCAAACTGTTCATTCTGTACTTTAATTTGGTAGAGGTTACTTCATTAATTCTGTCCTTGTCGTGCTATTTAATTAGTGCATATATGTACGCAGTTACATTGTCTTAAGACGGGTTTAATTTGAGGAAAATTCTACGGGTTTGATTCAACTAGTCTTCTCTCAGTCAACTACCAAGTCGTCTTGTTAATTAATTTCTTTATATAAATATCATTGATCATAAATAGATTTTTTCTTCTTTTGGGCTAACAGTCATTAGACTATTGCCACTTTTATATAGTTTGGTAACCTCTATTTTAATTTATCTATATCAATTATCAATCAATTTTTTGAGTAGACACTTCCAACTTTCGATTCAACGCGTTCAATTATGGATAATCAAAATAAATAAGGTTGACATTACACTTTTTGCTTAATCGGATGATGTTACATTTGGTGACTATTTTAGCTATTTTTCATTCATTTTTTCATAATTTTATGACTAAAATATATTCTAAATACTGCGTATGATTTTTCCATAGTTCAACAGATTCAGTCAATGCAATCATTTTAGCCCGAATATTATCAATTTCAACAGATCAGTCGATTCCAGTGTTATCAAACTCAACTCTCAAACCCCAAATGTATCGAGAATACTCACGTCGTTATTAATTAGAATTAATTCCACATTGGTCCTACGAGTTTTATGTTATTTCCACATGCAATCCACATCTTCTACTTTATCCACTTTAGGTACTTAACTAATGTTTTTTTAACCATTTGTAGTCCTTCTCCGACGATTTTAACCACCGGAAACATTGCCGGAAAGACCATATGTGAGCAAAATCACAATAGTCGTCAGAGCCGGTGATAGGGGGAGTTACCCTAGGCAAGTGCCTAGGGCCTCTCATTTTTAGAAATTTTATTTTTTATATATGTGTGTGTTTTATTTGAGAGATAATGATTGTATTTCTTGTGATTCCTATTGCATTCTTAAATTAGGAGGTCCACCAATTCTTTTATAGTGTCGTTCAAACACAAATTAAAAGTTAAGAATTGAAACAGTGATCATTTCACCATTTTATTTGAATTTTCAATATTATGCAGCGTGTATTCTTCGTATTTGAGTCTTTAATAACATGTTGATAAAAGTTTTTTGTTTTAACCTTATTGATCATTGATGTTAAACTTTCAAAATTCACACATTCTTATACAAAATAATTTGTTATATAAAAATGATACTCCCTTCGTCCATTTTTATTTAGCCAAACACTATTTTCCAAGTCAATGATGTTAAACTTTGACTGATTATATATTTATACTCGTAATATATTGATAATATGAAATTGATATTAAAATGGTCTTTGTTACAAATACTAAAAGTATAAATATACTCCGTATTAAGTTTCACATAAATAAATAAGTTAAAATAATGGATCAAAGTTTATCATCCTTGACTGGAAAAGTCAAAGTTGGCTAAATCAAAAGGGATGGATGTAGAACATTTTATCCTAAAATTATGTTTATTTTGGACTGCAAAGAGCTTGGTTGTATATCTATAGTACTCCTCTATTTTAGTAATACTTCATCGGTCTCATTTTAATTGTCTTACTTTTCTTTTTAAGTTGTCCTAAAATAAGTGTTACTCTCTTCGTCTCACTATAGTTATCCTATATTTCCATTTCTTTCCGTCTCACTACTTTTATCACATACCAATTTTTAACAACCGCACTACCCTCTTTTGTCACAATATTATGGGGAAGGAGGTAAATACATTTCTTTTTTGGAAACAATCTATTCTTTACAACATTTCACTTTATTATACTCAAATCTAATAAAAAACTTTTATATTTTCAACCAATTTATTTATAATTGATGGAGTATATGGCCCAGGGCCCCGCCGGCCCACATACTTCCACTACTGCAATCAGGCCCAACAGACCCAAACAGGCCAAGCCCAGCAAAATGAAGCTCTAAGCAGCCCATGACCCGCAAAGGGGTGCCTTCGGTCCGATTACCGAAGACTCCTGTTGGCAGAATCAAGCTTAGGAACACCACAGGAAAACAAAGCTTGAAACGCAACCCTTCGGCATATACAGCCCTCAGTATTGGGAGGCCCCCGGCTAGAAGAGCCTTCGGCCAACACCCTTCAGCCGAAGGCACTTCCCTCGACAGAATATCCTCTCCACATGCGCCTGAATCACCGTACCAAGTACAACATCACATCCAACCACCGCATTTAATGCGGCCACATGCAAATGCTGGTGCCACCCCGGTTGAGGTGACTCCTCGACCACCAAATTATTGACACATGTCCCTATCTAGCATTTATTGCTGCTATAAATAGCAACCCATTTTCCCATTGTAAATCATCACAAATTCACATACTGAGTACATATTCTCTCTCTACTTATTGCTCTGAGTTCTCTCTAGTTATTCCCCGAAATAACCCCTCGGATAAGCTACCCCCGGGTACATAATCCATCATTTGGTGCTCTCGTTGAGAGGTCGAACAATCAAGTAAGAAACCCTCCCCTTCAGCTCAAAACACCTACCAAAATGGGAAGAACCACTCGTGCCCAGTCCAAGACCCTTGAGGACAACAACCTTGTCCTTGGCGAAATCGACGCCCCTGGAGCCTCCAACAAGGCTCCCGAGGGCGGAGTCATCGTTGGGTTGGAACAGGCTGCTGTGGACCTGCGCCTTCAGCTCCAGCAAAATGCTCCTGATGCCTGCCTTGGCATCGAAACCTGAAGGAGGGACCGGAGCGAAAATCAAGTGAGCCCTCCGGTCCTCACTATTGACGTACAGTCGGCATTTTATGCCTTCATCCAAACTCTCACCCAGAATCCAGGTGCCTTCGGCAAGCTGGTACCACTTCAACCGCAGGTCGGGGAGAACGCCATTCCTCCCCCACCTCCGCCCCCCTTCGTGAACCTTATCCTTCGGCTAGGGAACAACGAAGGGGTCATGGCCCAAGACACCGCATCCCAGTAAGTCCAATCCCGGGACCAGCACGGTACGAACAAAGAGAGGCCTCAGACCTCTACCCTCAAGAGGCTTGGAGGGGTGCAGGATAATCGAGGGTCCAAGACCACCTCGGTGGTAAGGCACTCCAAAGACCTCAAGAAAGCGGGGGGTTGGTATCGAGGGCAGACAAGAGGCGTCCCACTCAGGACAAAGGGAAGGAACCACTCCATGCCGACGACGCCAGACACCAAATCAACCAGGCCCACTCGGCTCGTGTACAATCACAAGGGGTGGAGGCCCTCTCGAAGGATCATAGGGACGAAATTATTGAGGCTCTCCAACGCCGCCTTGATGAAATGAAGGCCCGCCAAGCGCACACGACCACCTCCACCTCGCAAGCGGACCCCAAATACGCCACCATGCTGGCCAAATGGAGGAGATGCAGAAGAAATTTGGCGAGGGCTCTGGGGAACCCGTTATCCAACTCCGGACTAGGATGCCATTCACCCCAAAGGTGTTGGCGGCCCAGATTCCAGGAAAATATCGAGGGCAACCCATCAAGCCCTATGAAGGAAAGACTGGCCCCCAGGAGCACTACAGCAGATACCAGAAAAACATGATGATGATGGGGGCATCAGATGAATATCTGTGTCGTTGGTTCCTCTCCACTCTGGAGGGCCCAACATATGAATGGTTCAACCGGTTACCCGAGGGCAGCATTGACTCTTGGCAAGAACTAGCCCAGCGCTTCTTGACTCAATTTGCAGGAAGGCACCGATCCAAAAAGCACTTCTCCGACCTACTCACAGTGAGGCAACAAAAGGAGGAGACCCTTCGAGATTTCCTTGAGTGCTGGAGACTAGAGACGGACAAGGTCGACGACGCCGACGATAGGACCCTTATGGCTCTCCTGCAGACGGTCCTCCGTACCGGCAACTTCTCTAGGAGCCTTATTATCGAACCTCCACACGACTATATAAAAGCCCTCCAGCGGGGAGACCGATACACGGAGGCCGAGGAGGTGGAGAGGTCGCATCGAACCCCCGAACAACAACGCCCCAGGCAGGATGATAGGAACCACCAGGGGCCGGGGGCTCCATTCTATCAATCCAAAGGCCCGACTCCCTTGGGTGATCGCCCCGACACAGCCAAGCCAAGCCCGAAGGAGGTTACAAAAACAACCCTGTTCTCTTGGAGCACCCTCGGACACCCCTGGCACACCCCGTCAGCATCATTCTCGATTTCGCCGAGGAGAGGGGCCTCGTGGAGCGAGATTCTCGCACACCCCCGGAGGTATATGCCATCAACCCCAATGAACCTTACTGCTGTTTTCATCGGCACCAAGGGCATAGAACCGATGACTGCCATCAGCTGAAGACAACCATCGAGAGGTGGATACAGGCGGGACATCTGTCCCAATTTGTCAGGGCCCCCAGCATCAGGCCCCCCCTCGAGGGCCACAAGCGAAGGCAAACGCCTGGATCAATCCGAACACTATCCCCCTCGGTAACCCGAACAACAAGAATATGGAGACCGGGAACCTTGATGAGGAAGAATGGTACGACCAGTGCCAAGACAAGAAGCACCACATCCACATGATCACTTGCGGCAACACGGGGGGAGACTCCACTAGCCAAAGGAAGAAATGGACACATGCCCTTTACGTAGGGGATGTCACTCATATGCCCCCCCGTAAAGCGGTTGAGAGAGGAGCCCGTCATGTTTACCAACACCGATCTCCCCCCGGCTTCCTCCCCTCACAGGGATGCGCTAGTGATCCAGAGCGAGATCAATAATACCATTGTCCACAGAACTTACGTTGACACGGGCAGCTCCGTCAACGTAATGTACCTTAGCACATTCAAGGAGCTGCTCCTGGGGAGGGAGTCCCTTCGGCCTATCCGGACCCCTCTGTCAGGCTTCACCGGAGATACAATAGAATCCGAGGGGGTAACAACCCTCCCGGTACTCTTCGACGACAGGCTCCATAGAGCCAAGCTCGAGGTGGAGTTTGTCGTCATCAACATCGACTGCGCCCACAACATCATCCTCGGCCGTCCCGCCCTTGAAGACCTGGAGGCCGTCATCTCCATGAGGCACTTATGCCTCAAGTTCCCTGCTGAAGGGGGCATCGGGTACTCAAGAGGGAACCAAAAGCTCGCACGCACCTGCTACCTCCAAATAACGAAGAAGGTTAGTAAAACTGAGTTCCGTGTGGACACCAATACCAGGACTATAGAAGAGGAGGAGGAGAGGCCGAGGGCAGAACCAGCCGAGGAAGTAGAAGACTTTG